CTCAGCAAACAGAGGAGGATTGGCAGTAGTTAGCTCAGGGCTAATCTTCCTCAAAAATACAAATAAATAAAAAATAAAAAGAAGTTGGTTCTCAACTTTTTGGACCCCAAGTACAAGTTAGGACTCATACATGAAAATCTTCCCTCTAAATGCTAAGCTTATTCATTTACAGATATCAACACCTACCTCTGAGAATAACTGCAAGAATCTCTTAAAGAACTCAGAGCCACTGGGGTCATTTATCATCTATCCATCTATCTGTCTATCTATCTTTCTGTCTATACCTACCTACGCATCTATCTATCATCAATTTTTCATCTATGTATCTACCTATCCACCTATATTCAGAATAAACACATCTGTATTTAATCTCTTATGTTTTTCCCCTTTGAAAACGCAAAAGAAACGCAAATAAACATGGCCATGCCCGAATGGAATTACTTTTATGTACGTTATGTCCTCAAGTCCAACTCTTAGTGGGAGCGCAACACTATTGATATGAATATGTTTTCTTAGAAACAAGAAAGAGCTAGTATTTTAAATTCTTGCTTATTAATAATGTGTTACAAATTCAAAAACTGTTTATTGCGCAAAGAGTATTAAACTTTAGGACATATAGTTTGATTTCATTTATTATCACATGTGATGTTGATGAGCTTTTATATTTTTTTTAACAAAGACTTTAATTTTTTAGAGCCATTTTAGGTTAGCAACAGAACTGAGAGGAAAGTACAAAGATTTCCCATATGTTCCCTGCCCATGCATTAAGGTTCCTCCATGTCTTTTCATGGTTTGATAACTCATTTCTTTTTAGTGTTGATGAGTTCCCTGAATTTTCAATTTTCAAAATGGAAACATATAAAACTCTTTCTAAGTCATTCTATCTGTAATGGAAAATATTTTAAAAACTACTATGCCATGAACAAGGAGAATTTATACAACATAAAAAATAGTATGAATTTAAAACAAAGGCACAACACTGTAATGTCAGAAAGTGTCACATGTAGAACTCAATTTCCAACATGTAAAAAACTAAAGAGCTATCCCTACTACATTTAACAGGTAATTTTCCATACTTAAATCCCTCTATAGTAGCCACTGTAGAAAGTAGTAGAATTTTTAAAGATTTATTTTATACTCGACCTAACATTAGGTATACTGGAACTGAGGACAAAAATGAACGCAAGCACAGGGAAGATTTTGAATCTCAGAAGGATATATACATATGCTTTTATGGGAAAATGGGAAAATGGGAAAAATCAAGTTAATGTAATCCATATAGATTTTAGAATTATTAGCCATCATTTAGAAAATAAGAATAAATAGTAAATGCCAAAAATGGATTTGGTAGTTCATAGGAAATCTTATTCTTTGGCTATTTCACAAAATCCACTGTGGAACTGTAATATATGTCACTTTGCAGAATAACGCCATGTTCCAATTTCTGAACAAACATACTGGATAGTGCAGAGATAAGATAAATATAAATGGCTTGCTTTTTAACAATTAATAAACCTTCAAAATCCAAAATTTCCATATGATTCAACTTCAAACAAGCTGCACTTAAAATTGAAAATGAATAAAAATGATATTTTGAGTGTCCACTTTGGGCCAAGTCCCTGACTAACCCGTGTGATGCCTTTGCAGGATGGACCCGAAGAAGCACAGTAAAGGCTTTGAAAACTGAACTAACGATCAAGCCATCACACACCTAAAATGATACAGAATTTGCACTCTGAACGTAGCCAGATTGAATGCGTGCAAAAACATAAAATAAACATTTGCCATAGGATTTTAACACCTCTCAGAATCTTTCATTTTAATATCGAAAACGTATCAGATACAATTCTAATTACCCAATAAACAAAAAACTAGAAAATATAATCAACTCTTAAGGAAACACAGTCAACAGAAAACTGATCTCAAGATGACACAGATGTTTTAATTTTCAGAAAAAGGCTTTAATGCTGCTATTAGAACTGTGGTCTATGAAATCAATAGAAACACTCTAGAAATGAGTGGAAAAACAGAAACATATAGAGTTATACAACAATAAGAAGAATCAAAAGGAAATTTTAGAATTGGATATTATAATATCTTAAAGTTAAAAAATCACAGATTGGGCCAAAGAGCGGAATCGTGATGACAAAGGGAAGATTCAGTGAATCTGAAAGTAGATAAGTAGAAATTCTAGCCGAAGGAGAGAGAGAAAAAAAATTGAAAAAAAAGAATGAACAGAGCCTCTGAGAACTGTGGGAAAATATCAGTAGTTCTAATATTCATGCCGCTGGTGTCCCAGAGGAAAGGAGAAGAGGTTAGAGCAGGAAATATCTAAAGAAATAATGGCCAAAGATTTTTCAAATTTGGTGAAAGACAAATTTACAGATTCAAGAAGCTCAGTGTATAAATTTTACAAAACGTGCAGGATCAGGATAATGAAAAGTACGAATACTAACAAAAAAATCAAAGACCTAAATAAATGGAGAAACATATAATGTTCATGGTTTGGAAGGCCAAGTATATTAAAGATGTTAGTTCTTGATAAAATGATCTGTAAATTCAATGTAAACCCTACTAAAATCCCAAAAAGATTTTACTATATTTATATTGGCAAGCTTCTCTTAAAATGTATGTGGAAACACAAATGAATTAGAATGGCTAAAATAATATCGAAAAAGAAGCATTGAGTTGGAGGAATCATACTACCCATTTTTAAGACTTCATGAATATCTACAGCAATCAATAAAGCTTAGAACACCAGAGGGATAGACACATAGATCGGTGGAGCAGAATGGGGAACCCAGAAATAGACCCACGCAATGTGACTAGCTGAGTTTTGACCAAGGTTTCAAAAGCAGTTCAGCAGAAGAAGAATAGCCTTTTTATAAAATGGTGCTGAGACGATCGGACCTCAGTGAAAAAAATTATTCATCTAAACCTTACACCTTGTGCAAAAATTCACTCAAATGGATCATATGTAGATCTAAATGTAAAAAGTAGAGCCATAAAACTTTTAGAAGAGAACAGAGGAGAAAACCTTTGGGACCTAGAGTTAGGTGACAAGTTCTTAGACAGGACACCAAAGGCACTATCCATGAAAGAAAATAGCTCATAGATTTGCTTGTATAAAAATTCAAACTTTTGCTCTGCCTAAGACTTTGTTAAGAGGAAGAAAAGACAAGCCACTGACTCAGAGAAACTATTCGCAAATTGCGTATCCAATAAATCCATATCGTATCCAGAACATAGGAAGGACTCTCTAAACAATAAGAAAACTATCCAATTTAAAAATGGGAAAAGACTTACACAGACAATTCATAAAAGATGTGCAAATGATAAATAAGTACACGAAAAGAGGCGCAGCACCACTAATCATTGGGGAAACGCAAATTAAAACTACAAGATACTACTGCCTATCTAGTAAAATGGCTTAAAAATACTTATACTATCAAATAATGGTGAGAAGGCAGGGAAACTGGATTTCTCATCCATTAGTGGGAATATGAAAATAAGATGGCCACTATGGAAAAAAGTCCACAATTTTTAAGGAAGATAGACACTTACCATGTGTACCACGTGACGAAACAATAACTCTGTTAGGCATTCATACTCGAAAGACGACAACTTAGGCTCACACAAAAACCTATACATTAATGTCATAGAAATTTTATGAATAATCACCAATAACTTAAAGCCACCCAAAGACCACTGAATTTGTGACGCGTTAAATTGTTCTACATCATGCAATGGAACACTGTCAGCCCAGGGTTTCGCTGGTTCCCATCTGGGCCGCAGACATGGCATGGCTCATCAGGCCATGCTGACGCGTCGTCCCATGTGCCACAAGTAGAAGGACCCGCAACTAAAATATACAACTATGTGCTAGGGGGATTTGGGGAGAAAAAGCAGCAAGAAAGAAAAAAAGAAGATTGGCAACAGTTGTTAGCTCAGGTGCCAATCTTTATTTTTTTATTTTTATTTTTTTTTGAGGAAGATTAGCCCTGAGCTGACTACTGCCAGTCCCCCTCTTTTTGCTGAGGAAGCCTGGCCCTGCGCTAGCATCATGCCCATCTTCCTCTACTTTCTATGTGGGACGCCTGCCACAGACAGGCGGTGCCATGTCCGCGAACCGGCGAACCCCGGGCCGCCGAGAAGCGGAACGAGTGAACTTAACCGTTGTGCCACCAGGCTGGCCCCTGAGGTGCCAATCTTTAAAATAAAACTTTTTAAAAATGAGTGTATGCAAAAATAGTGAAATCTGAGTAAAGTCTGTCGTCTGGTTCACTGTATTGTTCCAATCAATTTTCTTGTTGTGATAATACACCATGATTATGTTGGGGGAGGCTGGGTAATGGGCACATGGGACCTCTCTGGACTGTTTTTCCAACTTTTTGTGAGTTTACAGTTATTTCAAAATTAAAAAGTTCTAAAAGCTTAGCACATCTCAAACAACATAAACCAAAAACAAAGGTCAATTATACCCAGACAAATCATAATCAAACTGCTGATAATCATAGGTAAAGAAAACAAATCTCAAAATTAAAAATGAAAAAATATTTTGAGTAACTGTTCATGCCAGACACTGCTTTAGGTCCTTTACTTGTGTCTTATTACTCCGACAATTCCTATTATTTAGGAGTTATGCTCTCCTTTTTCAAGATGAGAGCACTGACTCAGAAAGAACACACATCTGCTAAGCGGCAGTAAGGGATTTAGGCCCAGGTCCACTGTATTGAGCGAAGTCCAATCATTTCGTATATGCGCCCAAACATTTTGCACACACCTTCCTAACTAAGCAAGGACAGAGTGTACATACTGAGCATAAGCATATTCCTTACTGTTTTAGTATAAAGTCAGAGGAATATAATGTGTTTCTCCTTTCTAGGCTACGTCATTTCACCTATTAAAATAGAAAAAAATATAATGTTCAAGACAATTTGTACCAAATTAAGGTACATTAGGTTACAAACAACAGTAAATGACTCTGGATAATTGGAGAAAGGAAGCATTTATTTAAGGGTTAGGAGGGAAGCTCAGCGAATTAAAGTAATAGTCAAAACAGCCAGTTCTTTCCAAAAAGAGGAATTGAAGCAAGTCCGGTGGTAGAGGCTCCTAGATGTAAATGTGAGTTGCAGACAATAGAAAACTCACCACTAACCCCCACAAGCTGTATGTCTTATGTTTTAATTTTCCAAGCGATCAGTACAGATTGGTCCAACACTCATCGATGTTTACCCCTAGGGTCAGTCATGGAAGTCAAGCAGTGAAGCAATGACTTTACTTGGCTAGTCTGACTTACTTGCCCACATATTTGGCCAGAAGGTAGAGTCTCCTATCAAAAGAAGAAGGAAAAAGTGCAAGGCAGATGAAAGCAAAAGCAACTGTAATTCGCCTCTTGGTGTCTATGAACTTGTGCACACGCAGGTGCACATACACTTCTTATGCATACATATCTATGAGGAAGGATGGAACACAGAACAGTTTCAAGATAATCAAATATGTATATAAACAGGTGTCCCAAATGCCATAGTGCAGTTTTAAGCTTTAATAATTTCAGAAGGGTAAAAGCTACAAATTATAGAGATCCTCATTTGAGACTTGAATTGTTTTAATTTCCCTTCTCCTGTAGAGTTTTGAGAATTGTTATAAGACTTTTTCAATTTCCATTGTTTGTTTCTGTCCTTCTGATTGAAGACGTCAGAGTGACAAACAAAAATTGAAATTTATCTTTGAAAATACAGTGCAAATGACACGCAGATTATATTTTTCAGAAGTTGATAGCTTTTACACGTCCAAAGTGATTAAGCTTAAAACTGCACTATGGCATTTGGGACACCTGTTTATATACATATTTGATTATCTTGAAACTGTTCTGTGTTCCATCCTTCCTCATAGATATGTATGCATAAGAAGTGTATGTGCACCTGCGTGTGCACAAGTTCACAGACACCAAGAGGTGAATTACAGTTGCTTTTGCTTTCATCTGCCTTGCACTTTTTCCTTCTTTGGGGCACCTGTATGTATACATGATTTATTATATGTTCCATCCTTCCTAACATGACTGTATAAGAAGTGTTTGTGTGCTTCCATGTGCATAAGCCGAGAGGCGCCAAGGGGTGAGTTACAGTTGCCTTTGGTTTCATTCTTTTCCTCTCTTAATAAGAAAGTGCGCCCTCCAGTCGAATAACTGGGCAAGTGAGTATATGAGAGGAAGATATGGGAAGAGGTATATTGTTCATATAAAGAAAAGGATATAGAAGAATGCGTAAAATTGTTAATAAAGAACATTTAAGGGAAATGTGTTGGGATGAGTGCAGGAAAGAAGGTGTATTACAATCTGTACTATTGAAATTCTGTAGTGTTCACATTCATGCATCAAGCATGTATTCATGGATGTTATATGTGGGGGAGAATAATGAAGTTGGACAGAGTGAAAGTCAGTATGTGAGCTGAAGAGTAAGACTATGAGCCAGGTGTTTGAGCCTGCAACAAATGAAAGTGACTTGAGAAGAATGAAGTAGATCTCAAAGTGAGAAAAGAAATTAGAATAGCCTTTTAAACCCTCTGTCAATTTAGCAGTCTCCTCCCCTAAATTTCTGCCCGGTTGTCATCGATCTTCTGTTCCACAGCTGATTGCTCTAGGTATGAGAAATTTGCTTCCCGTGGTACTAACATGTCTCTACCTATTCTGTCTCTTCTCCACAAGGCAATCGTGCAGTTATTTTCGGTGGCTGCTGACTCCCTGAGGGGGGTGAGCAAGAAAGTCTTTCCAGAGGTCTCCTGAGAATGTAGTATTCCCAGTATTCCTTGGGCTCCTCACAGCTATATGTAGATATTTTCTCAAGAGCTGGGCACCATGTTTTCTCAGGGCAACTGGGAGCAGCTACAGAGGATCGGGTGCATCTATCTTCAGGCCAGCCCTTACTCGATGCTGTGGGGCTCATGAGAATTGTGGTGGTCTCATCTGCCTGTAGGAGTGTGCTGGACACCATCATTTGAAATCTTCAGGCCAATGGGTCTGTGTTGCTGTGAGAAAACGAAAACAGAGAAGGAGATCCATTCAATGAGGAAGTCAGCTTTTCTTATTTTAGTGACAAGTGTTCAGCCACTCTCAGGATATCCTACATGATTTAGAAAATTCAGGACAATTTCCAGGTTCCATTCTAACTGTGACTTCTGGAGCATGGGAGATGAGCTTTTCATTTGTCCCATTAACTAAAAAGACATACTCTCATTTATTGCAGGATGAACCTAGCTTTGGAATGTCTATGTTTAACTCTTCTACTGGTCACTTAGAACAAGATTCTTCACACTATAACAGGAATATTAAGCTGGAAGAATTATCCACATTCATAAAAAGATATGGGGGTCCTTTTGGGAAGCAACACATTAAATTAAAAGTTGCCAGAAATGGTCCATGACAGAAGGGTAGCTCTATCCCCCTCCTTTCCCATTTATACCTGAGACTTTTGAGGAAGCAGCCAGTACTACTGGCTCCTGGAATTTACCAAGGGAAATTTTTCCCAGAAATACAAGGAAAGGATTCCACTAGTTCTTTCTTTCAAGTGGTTGCAACTCCTTAGCAGTCTCCTCCTAGGCATGAGAATAACAAAATCGCGTCTGCGATCTCACTCACACCCAGGAAAGAACCATGATTGGCCTGCACATCAACCCTTCCTCAAGGACAGAGGCCTGTCTCTGCCTTGCCTGTGCCTCTTGAAAGGGAGACAGGCCAGGGAATAGGCCTAGAGGGGATGTGACTCTTGCGGCCTTTGATTTATCTAGGAATGGTGGGCCCAGCCTTCTCTGCCCTGATAAACTGCTAGACCGGTTTTACTCCTGTCACCTCAAAGGCCATGGAAAGGAAGTAGTCTCATGAATTTGTCATCAACCAAGTATTCCACCTCCAAATAGATATCCTTCTCAAGGAAATTCTTCGGCACAGTTATGGAACTTGGGAGGCAGCTCTCGGACCCACCTTTTCTCAGAACCCTGAATCCCAAGTATTCTTGAGATGTTCTCTTACGTCTGGGGCTCTCACCTCTTGTACAGTCTGGCCCACAGCAGTTTCCTCTTGCGATGAGTCTCCTTTCCTCATTGTGGTGCTGGAGATGACAAACTGGTGTTCACTGCTCTTTAGTTTATGTGAGGAAATCTTGCTCTTCTGCGTGGTATGATCAGCCTTCTTCTCCCTCCTTCTCGGGACAGCAGTAGATAGTGTTAAAAGTGAGTGTCTGCTCCTACTAGGGGTGTGGTGGTAGTGGTGGGGGTGGAGATATGCATAAACAAAGGCAGGTACTATGCCTGGATGGCAAAGGTGAAGCCCTCTCAGTAGAGTGTGGCCTGCTTCACTTCCTCCCTTTTAGGGGCTGGAAAAAAAAAAAAAAAATCTGTTTACTGGCACAAGGTGGTTTTCGTGCTAAAATATTTTTCTTACTGGAATGTAGATGTTGTCTTCTTGATCTTCTTCTTCTTCTTTTTCTTGTTCTTCTTGCTCTGTAGGAAAGCCATGGCAAGATGGAAAGCATGGCAGCTAAAGCCCTACTCAATCCCGTGCTCCACATGCTTCTGAAGGACCTCTAAGCTGGGGAAGATCCCGCAGCAGCCCATGCACTTGAAGTCATTGTCCACGGCCACCGGGGGTTCAGGCACGTTGGCACTAGAACATTCCCCCGGAGCTGTAGGCTCTGCTGAAGTGCCAGCATCCTCCTCTTTCTCTTGAGCTTCGCCAGCAAAATTGGTCTCACTCTCAGTTGGGAGTTCCTTCGTAACCAAAGCAGAGAGGCTGACTGGTGTGTGGATCTCTTCAGGAAAGCTCATCTCTTCTTTCTCTTCTTCTTTCTTGGGGGGTCCAACCTTTCCTCTGTATCTAAGACAGCTGTACTCCTTTTTCTTGGGACAGCAATGTAGCAAATTTTTGTGATCGTTTCCTCTGTTACACGCACTGGGGGCTTATTATTATTATCCAAAGGAGGTGGAAAGGGAGATTCCCATTGCTCCCTGTTCTGGGATAGAGATACCAAAGGGTATCCAAGAGAAGAAACACTTTTCTGTACTTGACTGACTCCTAGGAAAGAAAATTTCAAACATAAGAATACCAGAATAAGTGTGTGAAATCTGTAGGAATTAAGGTGGCCATGAGAATATTCCTATGTGAGAGCATGTGGAGTGGATGTACATATATATATGTGATACTTCAGAATTTTGTGTGTGCTGTGTTTCATTTGAGGTGTGTAAATGGTATAACTATGTGGGAATGAGGGTGTGGTATGTCTCGTGGAGTTGTATGTATGTTCTCGGACATATCTGGTGAGTGTTTTAGATGTTCATAAAAGGAGCTGGTGAATGTGTGTGTGTGTGTGTGATGTGTGGCGTGACAGTACATGTGAACAAGTGCAGGAGTGGTAGCTGCTCTTACGGTGAGACAGTAAGACCTCGGGTGTTAGAGGAAGTGTATGTGAGCACTAAGAATGTGCAGCTCTAGGATGGGCCAAAGGCTTTCTGGGTGAAGTGCCACATGGATTAGAAAGATTGCATACGAAAGTGCATTCCCTTCAAGGCATATGAGTTTTCTAGAGTTTGACCTAGCGTGAGGGAGTTAAAAGACGTTATCGGTTTGAAGAGATGTGAATTATTTATGGGATTAGTGTGGAAATGCGTAAGGCTGAGGATGATTGTGTGAAGGAATGAAGGTGTAAGTGTGTACCTACGTAACACTACTAGAGAACAGAAAAGATAGGTAGGAAAGGAAGGCATGTGTATTTGAGAGAAAAAAATGAAAGGAAGAAGAAATGGAACCGTACCTGCTATGAAGGAGTATAGATGTGTAAGTGTGCGTTAGGCTATGAGTTCGTGCTGATCTGAGGGGGAAGGTTCTGATTAAATTCCCATATGCATATCAGCACTGCCCACTCTCTCTCCCACAGCTGTCCCATATAACAGAAGTTTGTACTGAAGACATTTGTCCTATCTTTGAAGGCACACTCCCTATTTGTCCCTCTACAGAGGTTTTAGTCCTAGTCCCTCCGCCTTGAAGCCCTTTCCTGTTTTTGAGGATAAAGCAAAATAAGTAGGGCTGGGATGAGAGGCACACTGTACCTCCTGTCCAAGCTCAGATCCTCCCTTTATATCTTCCTTACCATCTTCATTAGCAGCAAGAAGTTTGCCTGCAGAGGTGGCACAGGAAAAATATTCTGATGCAGAGGACTTTTCTCCTGTTTTCGGACTCAAGAGTGGGACCACCTCACATGGCCCAGGCTGAGAAGCATCCTCTTGAGTGTTCCAGAATCCTGGGGAATGGAATAAAAACACAAAACATTGACATGTGGAATTTTCTAGGTTCTGTGTTCATTCAAAAAAGACGTGTTGAGTGGATAGTATGTTAGGCATCATTACCACCAATGAGACTTGCTTTCATAGAAGTTAAGGTGACTTTCCCATTTGAAACTCTAAAATACTAAGCTGATTTTCCCACGTGAAACTCCATTTATCCAAAATTTAAGTAAGCAACAATTATTAAAATTGTGTGTGTGGAGGATGTCACTGATATCTGGTATCTTGTATGTGATATTTCTGGAAATGTATACAGAATATTGGAAACTTAAACCATACCTGAAATACAGTACGCAGTCACTGAAGGTTGGATATTATTAGCTTAATTGTCCTCATGAGAAATTGTGTAATTAAGGGATGTAGGGTAAATGTTTTAAGAATTCTGATGTACATCTATTTATTTATATTGATATCTATATTGATATAGATATATTTATATAGAGTGATAGATGTAAATATAGATAGAGATATATTGATATAGATGTATTTATATAGTGATAGATGTAAATATAGATAGAGATATATATAGATGTACAGATACAAATAAAAGTTTTTCCAAACTTCCTTAGGAACTAGTGATGGTGCTGGAGATATTCAAATGAAGAGTTCACAGACTTGCCCAGACTCCTCTTCTGAAAATGTATTTCAACATTTCTCTAAGATTTTTAAACTTCCCATTAATATCCTTTAAGAGTCTAATCCAAAGGAGTCAGTGGTGCTTACAGGGTACATTGCTGCCCATTGATTAGAAACAGACACCCTGGGAAGTCTTTGACAGAAGGGAAAAAAGTGAAAAGTAATTGTAATGAGTTCCTGTTGACGGTAGAGAAACAGAGACTTAGACTCTCAAATAAGAGGAGAGGAGAGAAGATTATGACAGGGCCCAGAGTACACCTTTCTATCTGTGTCTAAGCAGAGATGTTGAGCTTAATTTCTACAGGTGTACTCAGATCCCACTGCCCTATCCACTTAGACTTTAGCTGCTCTTCCTTTCTCCTTACCAGCAGGAGAGATATTGTAAAAATTTGATAAACTAGAGTAGCATGAGAAGTATTCGGATTCAGAGGATCTATCTCTTGCTTCACAGACCGTGTTGTTGTTCTCCAAAGAGTGCCCAAATTGAGGATTACATTTGTTGAAGTTTGAGATTCCTAGAAAATGGAACAAAAGTCATAAAAACAGCATGTTCCATTCTCCTACACTCTTCTCCCCAACCTACTCCACTCTGCCCCAGCCCCATGGAAAGACTTATTTTGTTCTGAACACTTATCTTTAGCTTCGGCAGACAATTGGCATGTTTCAGTATTCTGTGCTTCTATCTGGATCTCGCCATCAAGGTTGCTCATACTTACAAACCTTGGTGAAGATTTTTGGTACCCTTTGCCTTCCTCTACATCTTTCACCCTTTTCTCCCCTGTATCCCACCTCTGAGATTCACAATCTCTAATTCAGAGGAAACAATTGGTAAATTTTTATTTTTGAAGAAATAAACTATCGATTATAATTATGTCACTGTCCCTGTCTCAAGGTTAACCAGGCTCATGGCTCATTATTTAACTGTTTAAGGTTATCATCATCTCTCACGAATGCTTCCGGTAGATGTATTATGCACATTTGTAGCAAAGGAGCTCAGTTCTAATTCTAGGCATTGCCCCACCACCCCACCTGATGCCTCCTCAGCCCCTCCTCTCCCACACACCCATACCACTGTGAACGAACGTGCCTGAAGAAGACACAGAGGTCACGTCGTCTGAGTCTGAATCCTTTGCCCTCGGAAGGGTTCTTTGGGGCAACCCAGAGGGTCCAGGCTGCTCATCGTCTTCAACTGAGTCTAAGACTTCTGGGAAAGACAAGGAAAATCAGATATATGATATCTTTTGCCTTCACCAAACATTCAAGGAATACCACATACAATAACACACACGGCATCTATCCTCAGGAAGATCACGGTCTAGATTCTGTTCAAAGCTCCAACATCCAGGTATACAAAAATATTGTTGGAAGGGTGTTTCTGATTACGTATGAGGAGCCTATGTTGTCTTCCACAGTGTATCAGAGCCTCAAATTCTGGCCTGGTACATGGTAAGGTGCCAGTATAGTTTGTTATTACTACACGATTGACTAGAGGAATAAATTTGGAGTATGTATGCAGGTCAAGTAGCTCAGTTCGTCAGCTGTGCACGATCATTTGAATGTCCTGCTGCTTCCTGGGAGAGTTAGATTTTACTGGAAAGAGTGCAATGATTTCCATTTCTGGTCCCCTGCCTCCTCTTCAAGACGCCTGCTATTGTGGACCCTCACACTAAGGCCTCTGTTGCCAGAGCTCCACAGGACCAGGACTTTAGTGGAACTGCCGGGTTCTGACCCTGAGTAGGACACCCCAATACAATCCCAAAGGTTGACTCCAGACTATCCCTCCTGACATTGGCCACAGCTTCCCTCTCAGGAGCTTACTTACTCTTACATGGCACAGCAATCCCTTGGGCTAATCAGTGTGTCACCTTTCCCAGTGTCCCCTTCCCACACAGGGCTCTCAGTTTTTCATCTATAATGTCTACCCCCATAAACGATCTCGAAACTCTCCCAGTTTACAGGTAAATTCTATGTTATTGGTTTTTTTCTGACTAGAATGTGTGTATTTCTTGAATCAGCTCTATCTCTACCATGGATTTAAAGATATCATGAAAATCCCCAGTTAGCTTTTCTTCCTTCCTCATAACTGACATTTACAATGGAAAAGACTCTGCCTTTACATTGCCAAGTTTCAGTAAATAAACAAGTAAATTCTTATTCCTGATAAAATAACTCAAACACATTAAGTCCTCTTGTCTGTTTAAAAACCTCAGGTAAGTCTGAAACCAAATTCCGATTCCTCCAAATACATCCACTTTGTCTCTTAGATCTTTGGTGCACGGCTGGTGGGTCATATTTGTGTGGGGATGGTGAAATTAAGTGTTTGCGGTATATTTTTCAGAGTTAGTGTACATGTCATGTTTGGTGAGTGTAGACTGATGTGTGAACGTCCGTCATGCTCCCTCAGCAATCTCATGCAGTGAGTGTGGCGGTGAGATGGCCATTGTACATGTGAGTGTGATGTATTGGGTGACATTGCAGCATAATTTTCTATATGTATAGGCAATACATCTTCCACGTATGATGAGTGATCTGTGTGCCACATACGATTGATGTTCAGGTAGTTATGTAACACCTGTTTGGTTTAGATGAGAGGCTGTGTGGATCTGAGCAATTTTGTGAGGTCTGTTGAGGCCACGAAAGTGTTCCAGACTGACTATGTGAAGGATAGATAGAATAGAGATCATGTGAACTCCAAGATTGTGGAGTTATGCGAAGGGACTAAGGGAGTGGGAACAGAGAAGAGTTCTAGAAGATGTTATATGATTCTGATGGCTTCACACATTGTTTAATGAAATATGGAGTCTGACAAGAGTCGGATTATTTGTGCAAATTAGAGATTGCGGTATTGAAAAAACTGAGCTTATAGGAAGCAAATTGGAGGAATGCATATGCTGCAAAATAAGGGCATGGAGGTTTAATATGTGAGAATACGAGCTTATGCGTGTGTCTGAGAGTATAAGGAAATGGGAGCAGGGAATGGAGAATGAAGGGATGAGTCTTTATGGAGGGAAAAGTATGAGCATATGATGCTGAGTCTAGTTGTGGGTGTGATGGAGTAAATATCCACCTGTCTTTATGAGGGTAGAAGGTTGTGGGAGGCAGGAAGTTAAGAAATCTCTTTCAAATCTCTGTCCCTTCTTTACCCATGAGAGAACATACACTAAGGTACTTTGTTCTCCTCTTGAACACAAAAGTGGAATCCACTATGTCCTCCTTAGATGCTTTACACTAGATCTTTCTGGTCCATTTCAAACTGGTGTCAGAGATGTGCCCACACTGTGACCAACACATTTCATCACCTCAGGTACAGATTGAGTTAGTCTTCCCATTTCTCTGACAAGTCTGCCATTTCATTAGTCCTCCACCTTCTCAAACATTGCCCTGTTCTGTTGTTCCTGCACTTTTAGACTGTTGTCCTTTCTGAGATCTCTCTTGACTCTTAAAGTTTTCTTTTATACAGATGCAATGAATACCTCCTAGGGGAAAAGGTGACCTTGTCTTCTTGGTGTAGTCTGGACATGGCTTTGTCCCGGCTTCTATCTCCTATCTATCAGCTTGTGGACAGGAAATCTCAGCCAGCTCTCTCAGCTATGCTTAATACTACACTTCCCCACCCCACCTCCAATTGAGATGTCTCCGCTTACGAGTATTCTTGTTGGCAAAGAAGAGGCTGTATAAATATTGTAAGATAGATAATTTTTTCTCCCCCGGCTGGGGAATAAGAGCAGGCTGTGGAGTCTCCTTTTGTTTCTTCAAGATTTTTGTTAAATCGAATGAAAACTAATGAGATAATTACAATTTTTCATCCATTCAGTATATTTTGATTGCTCGATCTGTGCTAGATACGCATGGAAACTGCAGTCTCTTTTCCAGCAAAACCTCTAAAATATAAGCATTCAGTAATTTTTAATTTTTCCCAAGTGGGGATGGCCAGGTGAATATGTGTATGTTGTGTTTATGGAGCTGCTTGCAGTGTGTCTTGGAACTGTGCTGTCACAAAAAGCGCAGTCAATATTAGATAGTTTAATATTTGTTTACCTGACTATACATATGTCATTATGTTTAACACATTCATTTTCGTCTAGGCTGAACATGGCCTTCCTGAAGATGGCCATAGCTTATCCCAAGAACCTGTGAATATTACCTTATAAGGTCAAAGGCACTTTGTAAATGTGATTAAATTGAGAATCCTGAGACAGGGAGATTATTTTGGATTATATGGGTGGGTCCTAAATGTGATCCCAAGGATATTTACAAGAGGAAGGCAACCAAAGCCAAAAGAAGCAATAATAGATGTGACAATGGGAGCAAGAATTTGGAACGAGAAGGTAAAGAGGCTGCCAACCAAGAAGTGAAGGAGGCCCCTAGAAGCTAGCAGAGTCCCGGGGTCGATTCTCCACTGGAGTCTCCACCAGGAACCCGACTTACCAGTACAGAACCTTGACTTTAGCCCCCGCCCCACCATATGGCATACTTTGGACTTCTGACCTCCAGAGCTATAACGGAATAAATGTGTGTTTTCTTAAGTCACTAAGTTTATGGTAATTTCTTACAGCATTTTATAGCTAATAAGGAAATATACTAACCTTAGACTAAGGATCTCCATATATTTGGAATTAAATGGGGCTTTCCAAATGAGGAGGCTCTATTCACCCTATTTCCCTTCTTTCCTGAGTGCAGAGCTGCTTGTTTCAGTCAGTGATGCCACCCACTCTTTGTGCAAAATAAGGAACTTGGAACATTTGAACTCTCAGTCACTCTCTTACACATTATTGTCATGCAACACTTTAGTCACACCTGTTTTGTTGGTCAGTTCCAATTTAGTGATTGTGATTCTTGGCGTTTAATCAGCAAAGCCTAGTTATACTCAATCACAGCATTACCAATTTCTTAGGTTACCTTTTGTTTCTGACTATCATATTTCCTCTCTGTTCTATTTCATTTTTCTAAATAGATTCTTTCTGGGTGTGTTTTTTACATTTTAGTTTTTCTGGGTTTTCTCCAAAAAATTTCTCTGTTTCACCCTATTCTCATAGGATGGTGACTGTTCTTTATCTTCAGCATACTATTTCAAATTGACATTAGGTTTCTACAACTGCTATTGAGAAGTTTACTGTCTGACAAATCATCATTCCTGTGAAAGTATTCTGTGTTTCTCTCTAGTTCCTTTAAGGTCTTTATTATTGGAGTTCTGAATTTGGGGATTAGTGTACCTATGTGTGGATTTATTTTTATCTACTCCATAATGCACTTCCTAAGAATGTTTCCTGATTCTAAGGATTCACGTCTCCCATCACTCTGAAAAATTCTTAGCCATTATCTCTTTGATTATCTGCCTTATTTTCTTTGTTTTTATCTTATTAAACCTCAAGTTGGCATGTATTATATTTTGAAATTTTAGCCTCATTTATCTTAATCCCTGTTTCATGTTTCCCATGTATTTCTCTCTCTGATTTATATTGCAGCTAATTCTTTAACTCTATCTTCCAGTTCATGGCTTTTCTTTTCATCTATGTCTAATTTGCTATTTAACCATCCACATTTATATAATTTCTAAGACAATATTTTTCACATCTCAAACTACTTTTCGGTTATTTCTTAATCTATTCTTTTCTTGCCAGTGTTTTCTGTTTTTACATCTTTAACTATTTTAAAAACTATTTACCTTCTCTACAACATTATTCAATTAAATCATCTTCTTCAGAGTTAAAACTGGTTGTTTGTTGTGTTTGCAGAATCTAACTTATAGTTATGTGTTGTAGTTTTACATTGTGCGCTCGTTTTGCCAACTTGTTATCCATATGACTCTTCATCATGATTGACCGACAGTCCCATGTTCTTTTACATTTTCTGCTGTCAGACCTTACTGGATTACAACTAGCTATGTTTTAATTTTACATTAATTCTTCACTGTTAAGTTTAACTGACAACACAGCAATTATGAACAAGGTGCCTACAAATTCTACCTCTTCCCCAATAAATGCATTTTTCCAAAATGTATGCACAGAGCTCCTCCCTAAAACCCAAAAAGCTGAAAAACATTTGTAATGAGTTCCTGTTGATGGTACAGAAACGGAGACCTCAACGCCCAAATAAGAAGAGAGAAGAGAAGATTACGACTGGGCCCAAGGTACACTTTTCTACCAGTGGCTAAGCAGAGATGCTGAGCTGCATTTCCACAGGTGTGCTCAGATCCCACTGCCCTGATCTGCCTAGACTTTGGCTGCTTTTTCTTTATCCTTACCAGTGTTAGAGACATTGTAAAAATTTGAGAAACTAGAGTAGCATGAGAAGTATTCTGATTCAGAGGATCTGTCTCGTGCCTCACGGACCATGTTGTTGTTCTCCAAAGAGTACCCAAATTGAGGATTATATTGGTTAAAGTTTGAGATTCCTAGAAAATGGAATAAAAGTCACAAAAAACAGCTCATTCCACTCTCACACACTCTTCTCCCCAACCTACTCCACTCTGCCCCGCCCCATGGAAAGACTTAATTTGTTCTGAACATTTATCTTTAGCTTCGGCAGACAATTGGCATATTTCAGTATTCTGTGCTGCTATTTGGATCCTGCCATCATGCTTGCTCATACATACACACCTTGGTGAAGATTTTTGGTACCATTTGCCTTCCTCTACATCTTTCACACTTTCATCCCCTATATCCCACCTCTCAGAGATTCACAATCTCCAAGGAAACAATTGGTAAATTTTCATTTTTGAAGAAATACACTATTGATTATAAGTATGCCACTGTCCCTGTCTCAAGGTTAACCAGGCTCGTAGCTCATTATTTAACTGTTTAAGATTATCGTCATGTCTCATGAATGCTTCTGGTAGATGTATTATGCACATTTGCAGAAAAATGGTATAGTGAATGTGATGTGCTTCACATGTGTAAACTCATAACATGTTGGTTAAAACTAGGTTAGGGTTAATGTGTGATTCTTTTGGTTTGGAAATCTGAATATGGAGTGAGTTGTGTTTGAATGAGGATGGTATGTGTTCTTTGTGTCTGTGTGTTAGTTCAGCACATACCTATGTGTCTAGATTACATGTCTTATATTTATAGATTTGTGTGTTTTACATATTTTAATGTGGTTTAGATGTGCAATGTTATTATTGTAAATACTCGCTTTGAGACTAGTCAAATTAGTTTGTTTGTAAAATATAAGGGAATAATGAGAGAACACAAAGATGTGAAAAATCAAAGGATGTAAGACAAAGAATACATGAGCTTTCAGAATACGGAACTTTGCGAAGAGCCAAATAAATGAAGAATGTGTATGGCCAAGTGTATAGTAACATACAAGTAGAAAACTGCATCAGATGAAACAAGTATGAATGATTGAGTTCTGAAGGGGTCAAGAGATAGAATATTGACACTAAGGCCTCACGACTTAACTGTTAGGCATTCACCAAATTGTTTCGGTACTGGGCAGCCTTGTATTGACTACTGGGCAGAATCACTCAGCTCTTCTCTGGGCTCTGCCTACATCCCAACTTCCCTCTGCATTCTATTAAGCCGTCCCTCCTTACCAGCACCAGCCAGCTTGTCTACAGAAGAGACGCCGGGGAAGTATTCTGAAGGAGAAGAATCCTTTGCTTCCTGGTCTTGAGTTGGGACCACTCTATCGTGTCTAGGCTGCAGAGCATATTCTTGTAAACTCAACGTTTCTAAAAAGTTAAATAAAAATAAAAGAGATGTGATCTATGTTGGGTGTTTGTGTATTTATCCATCCATTAAACAAAAAATAAGAATCTACTATGTGACATGTTCAGTGAATACACATGGCCTCCATCTCCATGGATAGCATAAGATGATTCCTATGAAAATTACAGACAGTAATATTTATTCTGTCAATATATATCACGAATGACTGGGTTTGCACAAGGTGTGTTCTTTGTAAATGGAGCAGAGACTGCTAGCTGCCTCCTTTCTACCTGGACATACAACTAGATTATATTAGTTCCCATGTAGGTAGTTCTAACCATGTGATTAAGTTTTCAACAATGGAAAATAAGTGGAAAGCACATGAGCCACTTCCAAGCATAACTGTGCAGACCTCTGTGCCCCTCAATGCTCTTTTCTTTTCTAGCTGACTGGGGTGTTGATATCTATTTGAAAGCTGCATGTTAATGATAAGAAAGTTTTCATCAGTCCAAGCCCATGAAGTAAGTCATGGAGGAGACTTGCCCTATTGGCCTGCACCTAGACTCTGATTTGTTACATAAACAATAAATAGATTCATTTGCGTATGAGTTACTAAGCCTAATCTAACTACTGAAGTAGGGATGTAATGTGTTTTTGAGAGGCAAATAATTGGACCTACTACATAGCTAGTGTGCAGTTATGTTAGATATTAATATCTCTGTTCTCCTGGCTTATTTATGTTCTATATATGTGTATATGTGAATAGGTGTGAGTGTATGTTTTACTTGTCTTACAGTTTACACTCAAATACATCTCTGAACATGCAGTAACTCTATTGAAGGTGAAATGAAGACAGATTCCCTCTGCAGGCCTCTCTCCAAGGACCCACTGGAGTATGCAGAAATCTCAAACGTTGGAAATATCAAGTTCTCTTCAGGAGTATGAGCCATCGCTTGGAACTTTGGGGTTGGCTCCAATCTGTCTCCCTCCCACCACTGAACAATGATTCTTCCTCATAGGAGTTACTTGTTGACTTTTAATCTCCACAGCAACCAGAACTATTTCAGCTTCCCATTTTCCAGAAAGAGCCAAACTTTCTCTTCAATTTTACCATCCTGGTTAAATAGTGTGTGTGTCTGTGTGTGTATCCTGTTTTTTTCTTACATTTCACATAGGAGTCTTACATTTACATCTTCATAGTCTGAGGCAAAGCAACTTCTTTTTACTCCTGAGTAAATAAATTCTTTATGACTTTATACCTTCATCCCTGAACAACCAGATTTAAGTACTTAAACATTTTTCCCAATTTTTCGGTCATCTTTACGAGCCACGCTTTCTTCTTCACTAATGGGAGGAAGTACTATTGGAAAACTTATAACAGCATCATTTGATTAACCAATGTCTTTAGGCAAAAATCAAATAAAAGGAGATACCTTTTATAAGAAAAATTATATTAATCAACCACTATGTCTGTGACACAGTAACTCAGACATGGTGTAGGTAATACAGATGCTAAGCCACAGAGACAAGGATCTGTTTAGTTGAACTTCCTCTTTAGTCTCAGATTGCCTGGGCCCTCAAAAAACTAGCATACATCTCCCGTCCTCATTGTCCCCCTTCCCCATTCTCGCCCCCTCTTTGGTTTTCTCCCTCCCTTCCTTCCCTCCCCCACCACGACTAGGAATCTTCTCTCCCTTTTTCTTTACCAGGCAATTCGCAATACGTCATAGAATACGCTTAACACATACTTTTTGTCTTGTTCGAACTTTGGGGGATGTATGCATCTTCCAGGTGTTTCCTTTTTTGTTTCCGCTTCATGATTCAACTCTTTGGAGAGTGACTCAAATCAGTTACCTTTCTCTCTGAAACTCTGCTCTCCGAAAGTCATTGATGATACAGAATCAAATTAATACAGTCAAGAACAACAAACCATTTGAGAGGCTATCTCCTCACTAAATCACTGTCCTGACCAGTGCTCAGTACACCATCAGGGCTATTATGATGCAAGCCCTCTTTAAGGCCTCAGCATATACTATGACCTATGGATTACATCAGTGCACTCCAGGGACCCAGCTGGTATTCAAGGACTGCAGGGCTGTGACAATCCATTGACTAGGATGATGCCTTTTATCCAATGGAAATGATCATTAACTTAAATTTTTACACCTTATACTTGATATCAAAACCAGAGGACAGGTGACTTACATTAAACAAAGGAAATTACTTTATGTGTCTAAGGTAACCACATTACTAAATCTTCTCAGTGGTGAGGATAAGGCAGTACTTGAGAGAACTTGGCTTAGAATCATGCCTGTCTCATAGAAAACAGTAAAAGTTGTATCTTATTAATAGTGCTGTTTAACTTATGTACAAATGTAAGTTATATGTGAGGTGTATATTGGTAAATAGGTATGGATTTGAGAAGATCTCATAATTCCATACAACTCTAACATTTATTGAATTTCCCCCACTATTGAGAACAGTCTTTTGTATTTTTAAAACAAGCCATTGTCTCTCTTGCCACCCTTTCCCTTGTCATTTCTCAAGCAATTTGGGAAAAGAGGAAGCCCCTGGCTTTCCAGCCCCAGCCCTCATCATGAATCCTGTCTTGGTCAAGCCTAAAGGTCTCATTCTTTATGCTTCTGGTCCAGGCCCCAGTCTAAATCTTCTGGAAACAGCTGGGCTCTGTATGGGGTTTGAACTCTGAGGTTAGCTTTGTTCTACCTCCTAAATACCACTGAATACACCTCCACCCTTAGGAGCAATATGTATTTACTTCCAACCTTAGCAGTTACATTAGAACCAGGCCATGATCTAGTCTCCTTCAGTTTCCTTTACCCCCAACAGCCCCTGTCTTTGAGTGTTCCCCCCAATACCATGGGCTCAGTCTCTCACAACCACTAAATGATAGGCACATTTATCAAGAAATTCTCAGCCTTATTAGCTATCAGAAAAAGTAAAAACAAGGATTAGATACTATTTCACGTCTCTCAAATGATAAAATTAGATCAAACCTTACAAACGGTTAGAAGGATATGTGAAAAAAGGACTTAAATGATCTAATAAAGACCATGATGTAAAATGAAGTATTGATCTATGTAGCCATGTTGAAGATCAATTAGCCTACATTTTGTAAAATTAAATAAGCATATAGCCTATGTCCACAGAACCCCACGCCATAAGAGGGTCTTTACAAGGATGACAGTCATAGCATCATTATACTAACAGGGATTTGGAATTTTAGTTTAGTTTCCAACCCAAGAAGAATGGATAAGCAAAATGTAGTAGGTGCATGCTATAGAATTAATTTCCAAGGATAGAAGTCAAGTTCATTAAAATATATGCCTACAGGGAGGAGCATCAGGAAGGCACGGGTGATCTGAGATAAAAAGAAAATATAATTCAATGAAATAAACATAAGCGATTCCTTGACCAGGCTAATGAATAAGAATTATTAACTCAATACTCCGTAAATAAAAAAAACACCTCTCCCAAAAATAAAATGGCTCAAATTAGGTCTAAATGTAAGAGAAAGGATTATTCTAAAGATCCCTTATTGTGTTAGTTTCCTCTTGCTGCTATAGCAAATTACCACAAATTTAGTTGCTTAAAATATAAATTTATTATCTTATAGTTCTGCAGGTCAGAATTCCATTATGGGTCTTAATGGCCTAAAATCAAGGTGTCCTCAGGATTGGTTCTGCCTGGCGGCTCGAGGCGAAAATCCATTCTAGAGGCTAACTACAATCCTTGACTCTTGCTCCTTCCTTCATCTTCAAAACTCCTCACTTCAACTTCTGCTTCCATAGTCATATCTCTGCTCTATTACTCTTCTCCCTCCCTCCCACAAAGATTCTTGTGATTCCATCAGCCCCACACAGGCAATCCAGGATTATCTTCCCATTTCAAAATCCTTAACTTAATCCCATCTGCAATGGCTCTGTTGACACTTTGACACTTATGGTAACATTCACAGAATCTGGGGATGAGGAGGTTGACACCTTTTTTGAGGGGGGTGGGGAAAAGTGAACTTTTCAGCTCCCACACCAAGACAAAAACAGAGAGTGGCAGAGTAAACTCACCTATAGTAAAATATAGTAGGCTGAGAAGAGAAATCCAAATTAAACAGGAGCAGCAAGAAAAAAAGGGCACAGCAACTATGTAAACATATTGAGTACAACAAAGGAGAAAGAAATAAAGAAACAAAAGATATAGTTTGAAATTAAACGTAAGAAATAGAAGAGCAACTACATGAGAATTCTTCATGGTACAGAATTTAGGCAACTAGGTTCAATAAAACAAGAGCTCGAAGACAAAACGATGAGTCAAGGCAAAGAAATAAAAATGGAGAATTTAGAGCTGAGAAAAAAAAAATAAGACTCTGAACAACGTCAAAATGGACTAAATAAACAAATTAGAACCAGAAGAAAACATAAAACTTCAAACTGAAACACTGATATATAGATTTGAGATGAGTGTAAAGGGAAGAGATAAATACGTAACTAATTAGAAGACACTAGATCAAAAAAAAAGAAAGGACAAATGGTGTAACACAATAATAAAGAGGTTAACAAATAAACCAGACAATTATTCAAGATAAACACAGTGAAATATTCCTTGGATGCAGGAAGAACTGAAACCATAAATGAAAATGGGACATATTTTTTCAAGAAAAAAAAGACAGAGGACAACTTATAGAAATTCACAACGCCCACTTACACTTTTTTATCTTAAAGGATAAAACAAACAAATGAAATTCTTCAGATATCCTAAGAGAAGAAGAAAGTCTCTTATAAGTACTGAACATTAAACTAGCTTTACCCTTTTATAAAGCAACATCTACTGTTTGAAAACAGAGTAGTAGCTGCAGATATTGATAAAAAGAAGGTGTGATACCACAATAGGATTAGCGGCCAAGTTGTTTTCAAGTGTTAAAGCAAGTGGCAGACTGTCAAATGTGTGCCAAAAATTTTTCAGGGAATATGTGTGCTATAAGAGCCATTCTTGAAAAAGTCATAACTCTGTAATAGAGCCAACTCAAAAAAGAATGAAAATGCCATGAAATGACAAATTTAACACTCCACGCCAAAAGACAGTAAAATACTGGCAGCAAACAGCAGGGCCCTGAGGATAGAGGTGGGAGTGGGGTGGAAACTGACTGACCCAATATATTATACCATTTCCTATGAAGAAATTTGGGTTCCAGGCCTCTAAGCACTGGTATAGGTCTACAGCTCCAGACCTGCTGTCATCCTATTCTGTCTCACCAGGCCCTCCAGCACTATTTAAATTCCCGTGGTACCTCTGCGTGATGTTTCTTATCTCTGTTCTTGATCAATCTGCTCCTCCTGTCTTGAAAACTCATACAACATCTCGGGCTTAATTGTGACTGCACTTAGTACAGTAAAGTTTTCCAGGTCAGGAATTTCGAAACATGCATCTCTGTATACTCAGTCTAGCACAGTAGTGAGCGCTCAGTATCCTCTCTGAAGTAAAAAAAGCCAGACATAGGTAATCATAAAATTTTAAGAGCAAACAGAATTCTCGATAGTATGGCATCCATGAACCTTACCCGAAAATGCATCCAAAAAATTAACTTGACAATGAAATCCAGCCAACCAAGAGATGATTAAAAAAAAAAAAATCCCTCATATACCATGAATATGGTAAAATGTCCAGGGAAGAGCACTGAATCCATTTAAATGCAAAAATAAAACAAAAGTGCAGAGATTATGATTATAAAAGAGAATGTAGGTTTTAAACACTTTTAGAAAGCAGAAATTGCTACAAAAACTAGGAGATAGGTAGAGAGAAAGTGGGTAAAAAGGTGTTAATTTCATCATTAATGGCAGAATTGAACTGATACTACTTAAAAATGAAACTTAAAATTATACCCCCTCACTATTTTTCTTATCTTTATTCTTAACCATAAGGGGTATTTTAAGTATTAATAAACTAATGTTTATGAAACATTTAAAGTTCAACAACATTCTTAGATTCATTCCTGTTCCATTTTTTCTGATAAATTCAAGTATAATTAAATTTAATATTTTAATCAAATAATTATGGTATGATTCAGTTTCTGTAAAATATGTTTTGTTTCTCTTTCTACTTATCCACTCATTTATTCATCCGTCCATCATCCATCCCCCCATCCATTTATCCCTCTATTTGTACATAGGCATAGATATGTATATTCAACTACAATGATATCCAGCTAATGTTGAAAATGGTTACAATTAAGTAATTTGGAGTAATTTTTAAGCTTAAAATTTTTAAGAACTTTTGAGTTTCCATTTTAATATATATTACTTAATGACACTAAATTTGTGCTAATTTTTTTATAAAGATTTTATTTTTTTCCTTTTTCTCCCCAAAGCCCCCCAGTACATAGTTGTATATTCTTTGTTGTGGGTCCTTCTAGTTGTGGCATGTGGGATGCTGCCTCAGCGTGGTTTGATGAGCACTGCCATGTCCGCGCCCAGGATTCGAACCAACGAAACACTGGACCGCCTGCAGTGGAGCGCGCAAACTTAACCACTCGGCCACGGGGCCAGCCCCAATTTGTGCTAAATTGTAAAGAAAATAACATAAATCTGGGGAAAATATTTTGAAAAGTTTGGATAATTAGTTCTGCATTCCTTTCTCTGAGTACCTCTTCTTTTTAAAGTACTTTTACTTAATAATGTCATCACATCCTTGAAAGTTTCTGAATCTTGAAGGAGTATAAGAGTCTTGATAAACACTTTTATGTAATTGTCCTCTTACAAATACAAGGTGGAATTTATGTGCTAACCAATTAGATTATAATTATGTAAAATATCATCCAAAAATGATCAACGAAAGAAAAGAAACACATTCAACAACAGTAGTGACCTACTCAGTCTGGTAAACTTCCAATGATAGTGAAATGCACATGAATACAATTATATAACTTATGACTGCTTTATGAGGTACCCTGTCTTAAAGACATCCTCACAGGTCAAGGTGTTTTATTTTATTTTTTTTAACATACACCCTGTAACATTTAATAGCAACTCAGGCTATGGCATAAACTCTTCTAAATGGACAGCTACAATTATACATAGAGTTGGGATGAGTCAATGATAAGTTGTCTCTTACTAAATTTTTAGGGGCGAAAAAAATCCTCAAGATACAAGATATCCACCAAAATGTAAACTCTATAAAGGCTGGATTTATGATCTACCTTGTTAACTGCTATATCTCTAGTATCAGAAGCTGCAGAAGACATTTGAGAATTATTGAACAAAGATATGTATAAATCTATAGATAAATAAAGATGAATTAATTCAGATAGAAGTGTGCTGAACTTTTCTCTGGTTTAAATTAGTTAACTTGGATTAGCTAAAGAAACAATACATCTCATAATAGAACATATCTATTCTAACACAGAATATTTTAGCTTTAAAACTCATTTACAGGGGCCAGCCCAGTGGTGATGTGGTTAAGCTTATGCAGCCTGGGGTTCGTGGGTTTGAATCCTGGGTATAGACCTACACACAGATTGGCAAGCCATGCTGTGGCTGCATCCCACATGCACAGTAGAGGAAGATTGGCACAGATGTTAGCTCAAGGCCAATCTTCCTCACCAAAAATAAAATAAACAGTTTTTTAAAACTCATTTACATACATCCTTTGTTCTCACAAAAGAGTGGATATTAGTCATAATTTATAAAGAGGAAAGGTTAAAGTCTCAGACAGTTAACCAATCTTCTTGGTCTTGTGACTAGTGAGTATGCAGAGTCTCTCTACTAAATTAACATGAAATAAAACAAAATTGATTTTTCCTTGACCCAAGAGAAGCTGTATTCTGTTTTGAACGCTGCTTTTAATAATACAGTGTATAAGCTTATTAGAGTCATTACTTATCAGGTTAATCTATCAGTGGAAATTCTGACTTCACAAACCAGCTATGGGATTTTTAATAATGCCTAGCTTTTTAACACTGCCAAACAGCAGATTTTGTAGAGGTCAGAGATACTGACTAGAATAGCACCTGCTTGATGCCAGCTCTCAAGAGAAAGCTTAAATAACAGACTTCACATCCTCCTGTAACATCCAATCTGTAACAAGTCCCTGCTGAAGCAAAGCTGTCCAAAGAGAAGTGTGAGGTTGAGCACAAAGAAGAAAAACAGAATGCAAAAAGAAAGCCATGAGTTAGACTTCTCAATTTTTGTCTACTTGGCTTTTGCTTCTGACAACTGATGGAAGGTGGAATAGAGGTCACAAGATTGAGTAAGCGAGGAAAATATAAGAGAGGGCTAATATCCCAAACCTGTCCTCCAATCTTCTCTTTTAAATTCTGCCATAATTCCTTATTGAATGTGTAGCTTGAAAGGAAAGATACAAGTGAGGTTAGTTCCTATAATGACCTGGCTTGAGTCAGATTTATGAATGTAAGGCAGAGTAATTGAAGAGCATGGTCTTGGAAGAAAGCTCTGAGTTTGAATCCCAAATCTCTCACTTAGTACCTATTGGAAGTTAGGCAAGCAAGTTGAACTTTCTATGCATCAATCTCTTCATTGTAAAATGGTGGCAATCCTATGGAGTTGAAGATTAAGTGATAAAAGTCTTAACACACTTCCTGGGTGACTGTTAACACTCAATAAATATATATCAAGAGTTGATTGTATGCTGAATGTTTTCACACAAGAGGGGTAAAAAAAATTACAAAACTCCTAAGTCAAAATGTCAGGGTTTAGCGCTGAAAATTTGGTAAAATCATATTGAATGCATTTGAAATAGTTAATTTATGTTCAGCACTTATTCTAAATATTTTCACATCCTGCTTAATTTTAATGACAGAAGTCATTTTAGTCAATTTCCTTGTTGTTCTCCTTTATTAGTCCAAAATGGCAATTCTCATTTGCCTTTGACAATCTTATGAAAGAACTGCTTCTCTAAAATTCTCTTAAAAATTGGCATTGTGCTACTTTGCTGAATATTTTTCCACTTTCTTCATTTAAATGCACTTTAAAATGAGTGTTCTGGTAGATTAGATGCAAAAAGTTCTATCTGTTTTCTAGCAATGGCTGTCTTTTACTACCTGTGGTGATAAAAACATCTCTTCCTATGGTGATAAAAGGATATTTAATGTTTCATTGTGTCAAATTACCTGTAGTTAAGTTTCTTTATGGGAGTTTGCATAATAGCAAAACATAATGTTCCACAAGTTTTTAATAAACTAACTCAAGCACCATAGGAGAAAGTAGTTACTAACCAACAGACGGTTTACAAATATAAATCTTTTAAAAGAGAAATCCATGCTAAATGCCTAGTGCTAATATTTGAGATTTCTTGGGGATCTATTTTATTTTTTAAACTATAATAAAACTTTAATTTTGATTTGTATAATTTATTATCTGTATACCCATAATAAAAGTTTCTTAGTTTTGCTAATAAGTTTAACAGAAGTGATCTATTTTAAATAGCTACAGTTTCCTCATAATTTTCTATTGTAACTTTAAATATATCATGACATTTGTTTTCAAGGCAAAAACAGAGCTGAACCAGTGAAATACATTTCATGATGAGCATAAATGAGAAATATGAGACACTTATAATCCCAAAATTATTTCATAGAGGAAGGATTCTGAAGTATATTATTAAAAATCAATTTGAGTATGCACTTGATTTGTGAAAGGCTCATGTAAACATAACTTGAAGACATTTAGGAAAGAAAAACAAAGACAAGAACAAACTTATTTCTACAACCTCTCCTGAGACTTAGTCAAATACATGTTTAAATAATAGGCTAGTTAAAAAAAAAAAGGAAGTAAAAGAATTTTTAGATGGAAATGTTCGCAGAAAAAGTTTACTAATCAGTCATTGAATGTAAATTTTTCCCCTAAAACAACAATTTTAGATTGCTATTTTTTTCATCTCTTGCTTGCTTCCATGAAGGAAGAAGGGGCAGCTGCAATTGGGGTTTTGTATTTTTAAAGAAACTGATTCTTGATCTGTGGTTCCTTTTGCTGCAAACCTGGAGTTCTGCCTTTCAGAGCCTGCTGTTCTCTGCAATTTCTTATAGAGCTTTTAGATCCAGATGAAGAATGGAAAAGCACTGATTGAAACTCCCTGGCTTCTGTACTTAACTTGTTTTTGTCCTTTCTTATATGATGATAGATTTCAAGTATATCTTTTTCGGATAACACTTTTAGGGGTTTCTTTTTGTTCCTTAACTGAAGAATGGCAACTATTTTCCTTCTTTCAGAAGGAAGAATGACTTTCCCAATGAAGAAGTCATCACCACTATCACTACCCTAAGACATAGAAGACCGTTCGTAAAACCTTTCTTCCTCATGTGATTCTTGCCCATCACTCTTACCACCAAGAGGGCTATTGGACCCTTGCTTTTTTTTGTTTGACTTAACGTTTTCATTTTCGGGTCACCAGATGTCTTCTGGGGCTCAGGGAAAACTACAAATTCCTTTTCTGAAGGCTTTGATGAATTTGGAAAGTCCACTACTTTGGGTCTGTGTTGCATCTTAGCTATTTTTTTCTTTTGAATTGCTTATTGGTTTCTTTGTCAATATTTTGGCTTCTTTCCCTCTTTGTTCACTAATAATAGTTACTTCATGCTGTAACTTGCTTGCACCATCATTTGAACACACAGTGTGTCTTTGGAGTGATTTTCTTTTGAAGCATTCTTTAATGACTTAACTTTAGCAACATTTTGTCTTGCATCTTTTAAAACTTTGACAGCAGCTTTTAGCATTCTTTTCATTTTTGAAAAAAAACATTGAATCCAGATGAAGACAAAGAAGAAACTTGATTTTGTGATTCACAGACTTTTTAGACAGATAATAACTTGAGGATATCAATTTATTTGCCTTTATTTAACAGATGAACAAAGTAAATTACTTTCAGAGTGCAAGAGATGATTATTGTTAGAGTAGGAGGAGATTCCAAATCACTTAATTTCCAATGCTCTTTCCACTGTATCCTACTGCTTCTTAAGGATTTCATTATATTAGGTCTAGGTATTCATAAAGTTAATCATTTAACTGAAAAAAAAAAAAAGAAGAAAAGAAAAAGAAAAGAAAGACTTTTTTACTTTATTGCTTTCCCTCTGCTACGATTTCTTAATTTTCCTAAAATTTCTAATATGTCTAAAGGTTCCAGCCCAAACTCTCTACTCTTCTCTCTTTGTAAGCGCTCCTGAAAATTCTCAACTCTGTTGGTATATTTATTAGGCTTATGTTACATTTATGTTAACTCATGGATAACTGACATTTTTTTATCTTAAATCTGCATATCCAAAAACATTGAGTATTTTCATTTTTTCAAGCCTCCTTCCGGTTTCTTCAGAAACATTTTAATTTTCCTATCACTTTTACATAT